GTTTTATGATTTTGAGTGACTTTATTGTAATACGCTGCACAATAAATGTTATTGCGCATTTTATTTTTATCTTATTTTGTTATATTAATCCTTATATTCACTTATGTTTCAATATGTGCATGGTTTCAGAATGTCTTATTTTCACAAGAAAGCCAGTTTGAAATTACCGCACTCAATGGTAACTTGATTTGGAATTCTTTACGCAGGTTGTTTTTTACGATGAGTTGACTTTTTGTATAGATAATGCGCGCGTTATCGATGGAAAAATAAGGTGTTATACAGTTTAATAATATGCAGCACAAAAGATAATATTGACAATTCGGTGAATGACCAATACCGATGCTTCGGTACCTAAAATTGCTTGCAGCTGTTAGAGGTTTAATCTGTGCTTCGCTAGCAACACTAATAAGTGTTTATGATTATTTATTTGCCTTGTAGGTCGCCCAACATTCGCGTCTTTCAATGTAAATGATCACGATGCAGATTTCAGTACAGGCCTTTCATTTGTATGTAGCCATGGGACAAGAAAACTGAACATCTTGCGTGACCTAGGACCAATTTTGGCTTCCTTCAAGTTTCTTGGCTGTCTTATCGTTTCATGCATCTCCTAACTCTAGTCGTAACTCGCAGTAGTTGAAAATATCAAGAGATGTATCAGAGCAGCTTACATAGTAAAGTTTCGTTACCTTTTGCCTTTTAATCGGATCGTAATCTTAATTATCTTTATTCTAAATTCCGTTGAGTCCAGTTGGATATTCTCCCATCAGACTCTGACATTCGCGCTCCTTTTTCTATGATGATATTTCCTGTCAAACATGGTTTTTTCTCTCTGGGCCCGTAGTTGTATAAATAAATGGTTGAGCACTCTACGTTTCAGGGCAACAAACACAGTAGATGGTAAAACCATTATTGCCAACGCCTTTTGCTACATACACCGTTGCATCATCAGGGTTTGGCACAACTGGCTGCTTGAAGGCATTCATATCCAACCATCGAACAAGACTATAGCTTTCCATTTGGTACTTACTTTGCAAGTGACGTGCTATTAAACTACTTTATCCGAATGTTAACCAACAAGCACAATGTAAAGTTTTAATGAAAATGAAATCGGATCTTTGTTATGTTGCCCCGATTTTGCGCATCAAATTCGCGATTGTGTCTCAGCTTTGACTAATGATCACCGAAGATCTCTGTTCCAAACACATTGGTCTGACTGAAGAGTTCCCTTTGGCAATCCTGTACTCGGCTATACTGGAATTGTCCACTTGTCCATGGCGCACCGCAGATAAGTGCCTTCTGACCTGAATATTCAACTTCCGGTTGGTTGTTCCAACGTATACCTTATCGGAGTCTCCGCAATGAATTTTATATACAACATGTAACACCTCTTCTGGATTTGTGGGAATGTGCTCCTTGAATAAGACGTAATCCAATGCTCTGCCTGTCTTGTAATTGCCTCGAAACTCCATGTTAAGTTACCTCACGGTATGTTGAGGTACCTGGAGTATGAACATAAAATTACCATTGGTCCACATGGACGGGGCATCATGAAGTTCGAGTTGGGGTGCAGAAGTTTTCCTTCAAGCATCCTCTTTCGATAAATATTTTTCTCTTTTTTTGTTGATAATCGATGCACAATAATTTACATGAAATAAAAACAAACTGATCGATCTTCATTCGCGGAGATCTTTCGGGGTTTCTTCTTTTTGCTTGAAGCCTGAGCGAAACTGGACATGTTTTTGAGAGATCTTGGAAGGTGTGGGGTATGACGGGGATATCTTGATTTCTCTCGATTGTTTTACACATTGTGGGACGGATTAAGTTGCCATATCATTAGACGCCAGGTAAAAATCAGTGGACAATGTTGAATCATGTAGGTCGTCATTTGCTGCAACTGGGCTTTGAGGATGTCCAATAAATCTTGTCCTGAACGGAAATGAAGATCGTCCTTGTTAATTGCAGATTTCAGTTTCAGAAAATATACATCGAGTTCCCTGGAGAGTTTAGTCCTCAATTACAGAGCGTAAATAATATTTCCATCAAGAATAAGACATTACATGAAACTTGAAATCGAAGCATTAAAATAATTTTCAACATATTTTAGCCAGACGCAGAAATTGCCTGTTTTAAGATGAACAACGCAGACCTCAGTTCGGTTTTGAAATGTGCACAGCGGATAAAATTAAAAAGCTGGTAAGATATTTAGCTCTTAAAGGGGTGAAAACGTTGAAAGTACTAATATCGTTCTCTGATTAGGCCTATCCATCGTTTAATCTTGACGGATAATGTATATAATCCGCTGCATCGAATTACGGACGATCAGTTCGAGTCTACGTTTCAGATTAATTATCTCTCCAACTTCTATTTCATCATCCTCCTCAGTCCAATTCTCATCACTTCCACCCCCTGTCGAATTATCGTTATCAGTTCAGAAATTCACAGGTATGCAATGTCATGTATATACAATTGCTAACTAAGCCACATTTCGTTTTAGACTGTTGAAAGTAGCATGGCCTTCGAATCCGAAGCTCACGTGGAAGGTGCTATCACCTACTCACACGTTGCACATGAACTCGCCGCTGCAGGCGTACCTAATTTCCACGTGGTGCAATCGACTGATGGTCAGGAAGCTGAATTCAGTTCTGAACGACAGTGCTGTCACAGCCTACGCCGTTCATCCAGGGTTGATGAGGAACGAAAATGAACATGAACTGGATTACGCGCGAAGTCACGGTCGGATGTATAGGATCTTCAGCGTTCTTCTTAAATCAACGGTAATCTGCCATACCTCAAACGTTTCCTCTGCCAAATGTCCGTTTTACCGCACAATTCAACGCACATCTCTTAACGTTGGCCATAGCAGACGACCACCTTTTAGGCATCAAAAGTTCACTGTTTGAAACTTAACACTTAGATCTGACTTTTCTCGATTGCAGTCTGCTATTACCGGTGAAAATTTAAATGGTAAGATAAAGCAGGCTGTTCGTTGTGGTAAAACTGCTTCCAAGTCTTTCTGTTTAACTGTCAAACAACTGATCTGCTTATCACAGGATTTATGCAACTTTAAATTATTTTCATTTAACTCTGATTAATAACAGTAGATAAGTTCACAAATATTTCGCTTATTTTTCAAACTATTTTTTTTCAGTCTCAGTTAATCTTGTAATAAGTAAATAATACGCCAGGTTTTTTATTCTTGGCCCATAGTTATATAGCTAAGTTGAATGATTCATGGTTCAGGGCACCAAATACTGAAGATGGTGGAACACTTTATTGCTGACGAGTTTCGCCCTACACAGAGCGTAGCAGTGCTTAGCCCTGATGGTACTATGGGCTATAACGAAACTGCCAGGTGTTTGGTGCCCTGAACCATGAAACGTTCAACCTTTCCATATTTATCTCGTGGTTTTTTTGCCTTTTCTTAATAAAAAGATTAAAGGCATTTAAAAAATTAGCTGCTTTCCTATATGGCACATAAGACGTATATGACTTAGGCCCTATATTTTAATGAATATGGTATCCATGCGAATGTATGTCAAATAATTGATAATAACACAATCGTATAGCTTCTCAGCGGATAACCTACAACTCTTAGGACAAACATAAGTGCGATGAGTATAATCTATCAATTTAACCAATTAAAAATTGTTTCACAAGGTGTGCTATAAAATTTTCTGTTGCGGATGCGAGGCAACCATCGAATATTTTATATGATATGCAAAAATTTCTGTTTTTTCCACAACCTAATACGATCATGTACAACTTTTAGGAAGAAGGAGCGGCTTCCATCATATACTGTGCAACTGCAAATGGCATTGATAAC